CCCCTCCTGCCCCTCGGACGATGCCGCCACCGTCCTCGCACCTCTGAGCGCTGCCAGCGCCTGCCTTTATAGGCGCCCGACCGTCACGTGAGCGTCCTGCCGCAGCCCCGCCCCCAGCATCTGCCCGCGCACGCGCCCTCCTGAGTCCTCGGCCCCACCCCTCCGGAAGAGGCGGGGCCGCGCAGGGAGCGGATCTGGCAGGGCCTGTGCGAGGCCTGGTTCCCGCCCTAAGTGCCCCAGCCTGGTGCGTGCAGACCCTGGAGTGGGCGCACAGCGACGCGGGGCTCCCGCCCTTCTCCTCCTCCTGCACGTCCCGCGTGGTGCCTGGGGTAGCCGTGCTGGGGAGGTGGGCGAGCGGCCTCCTCCCGGCTCCTTGGGCCTGCAGCCCGGACCTGGAGGGAAGAAGAAGCTGGTCGGGGAGTGGGGAGCCAGCCTGGACCGAGTGGCCCGAGGGGAGATAGGCAGGAGGGCTCGGGCCCACCAAGTGCGGCGGGAAGGGAGGGCCGAGGGGGGCTCTGCGACTCGGCAGCCGTTGGCTGGGAAGGTGTGCGTGACACGTTGTTATACCTGACTTGTACTTGCTGTGACGGTTGTTACACCTGACGTGCTGTGAAGACAATGTTTGATTGTACACGCTGGCCGAGAGCATCCTGACCCATGTTGTAGCCCATTCAGCCTAGCGTTAGTCATGCTCCCGGAATTCAGCGTTCAGCGACACCCTCGTGCGCATCTCATAGCAGATGATGCTGACCGACAGCGTGAGGGGGAGGCGTGCTCTGTGCTCCCCCCATGACGCAAAAACATGTAAACAAAGCCCACTTTGTTTTGACCAAAATCCCACAGATTTACATGTAAAATGTTAGAAAAGTCTTTTGATGTTTTGTCAGGTCACCATGAGCCTGTTAAAATCAGACATAAAAAGAGGACCCGGAGCCCAGCTCATCGGCTCTGGCCTCCGCTTGGGCCAGATCGCGTCTGGCTGCATCTGAGACCTCCCTTTAGCAAGGCCCTGCCCGTTCGGGGTACCGACCTCTCCTCTCCCAGATGGCCCTCCGCTCGCGGTCTTTGATGCTCCCCTGTCGGCTGCCAGTCCCGATCTCCGATCTCCGTACTTTAGCATCACCAGGTGGACTTTTCCTCTCGTTCGCCCTCGGTCATGTCGTGGCAGCCGCCACCTTTGTTCCCTAAGATCTTCATGCAGCTCTCCGCCACCTCACCGACTGTTCCTCTAGATGCCTCGCCCTAGGGTACTCAGCACTCCCTGTCGCGGCGCTGGCATAGGACGCTCTGCGCCGTGTCCCACTGTGACTTGTAACCCCCCTTTTCCCCATGTGATCAAAGCAACCTGAAAGGCACGCCTGAGTCCTGTCCTCCTTGGGCGGGCTTGAGCGCAGACTGGCTGTAACTGCTTGGGCAGCTAGTAAGAGTGAATCGAACCTCTAAGTCGTGCTTCCTGAACGCCGTAAGATCTCCCCCTCTCCCTCGCTCCCCTTCCAGAATTCCCTTTGCCGCCCCACAGGACACAAAAGAGCAGTTCCAAAGGGACAGGGCCCAGGGCAGCCTGCGGTGACTGTGGCCGGGACCCACAAGGTGGACTGAGGGTTTGATGCCAGCGGGATGGGGAAATGGAGGACAAGGGATCGCAGCAAGAGTTCTCTTCCCGACTTGTGCTCTCACTCTCTGGCAGTGGAATAAAAGGAAGTGAAAATATCAAATAAAAGTGTTCTTTCCTTTCATGTGACAGAAAAGCAGGCTAGTAGTTGAAGGAAATTTGGAGGAGGGTTTATACATTTCTTATAAAGATTTAAGTTTCTGGAGACCAGCAGTTGACGTAATGGCTATGTCGCTGGACTCCCACAGTTCGAGTACCGGACTGCTGACTTAACTCCAGGCGCGTGTGCGTGCGTGCCCAACATCCCAAGAGGAGAATGGAGGAGAATGGACTGCGGCGTTGCCATCTCCCCGGGAGGTGATTTCTCGCTTTCTATCTCTCTGTCTCTCTCTCTCTCTGGCGAGCGCACGTGCCCCACAGCATAAACCTCTCCAAAAAAAAAAAACAAAGGTTTTAAAAAAAAAAGATTTTAAGTTTTTTCAGAGATACTTGCTATGGGGCATGTGCACTCCCAGAGGACAGAGAAAGTGAGAGATCACCTCCCAGGGAAAGGCCATGCCGCAGTACCCTCTCCAGTTTCTTCCTGGGATCTTGGGCACACATGCACGGTTTCTGGCGAACTTAAGTCACTCATCCAGGCTTTGAACCAAGGTTGGCCATCTGGAAGTCCAGTGATGTAACTACTACGCCATCTGCTGGTCCCAAGATTTAAGTATTTTGATTCCCCAAAGATAACAGCTTGAGCAGACAGGTGTCTTGGTGGTTAAGGCACTGGGCACTCCCACGTGGGAGACAGTGGTTTGAGTCCTGGACCTGGAGACTTGCTTTCTCACT